TTAGGTGGTCCCCGTCCTCATACTGGGGGTCCCTGACCCCCTTTTGGGGTCCCCGTCCCCCTGCCCTGCATGGGGTCCCCGTCCTCGTAATGGGGGTTCCTCAACCCCCTTCTGGAGCCCCCCAACCCCATTCTGAGGTCCCCCTGCCCTGCATGGGGTCCCCAACCCCATTAGAGGGTTCCCATCCTCATGCTGGGGGGCCCTGACCCCATTTTGGGGTCCCCGTCCCCCTGCCCTGCATGGGGTCCCCGTCCTCATACTGGGGGTCCCTGTCCCCATTATGTGGTCCCCATCCTCATACTGGGGGTCCCCAACCCCGTTAGAGGGTTCCCATCCTTGTACTGGGGGTCCCCGACCCCATTATGTGGTCCCCGTCCTCATACTGGGGGTCCCTGACCCCCTTTTGGGGTCCCCGTCCCCCTGCCCTGCATGGGGTCCCCGTCCTCGTAATGGGGGTTCCTCAACCCCCTTCTGGAGCCCCCCAACCCCATTCTGAGGTCCCCCTGCCCTGCATGGGGTCCCCAACCCCATTAGAGGGTTCCCATCCTCATGCTGGGGGGCCCTGACCCCATTTTGGGGTCCCCGTCCCCCTGCCCTGCATGGGGTCCCCGTCCTCGTACTGGGGGTCCCCAACCCCCTTATAGGGTTCCCATCCTCGTACTGGGGGGCCCTGACCCCATTCTGGGGTCCCCATCCCCCTGCCCTGCATGGGGTCCCCGTCCTCATTCTGGGGGTCCCTAACCCCATTCTGGGACCCCCATCCTCATACTGGGGGTCCCCGACCCCGTTAGAGGGTTCCCATCCTCGTACTGGGGGTCCCCGTCCTCATTCTGGCGTCCCCATCCCCCTGCCCTGCATGGGGTCCCTGTCCTTGTACTGGGGGTCCTCAACCCCCTTCTGGAGCCCCCCAACCCCATTCTGAGGTCCCCCCGCCCTGCATGGGGTCCCCATCCTCATGCTGGGGGTCCCCGACCCCCTTCTGGGGTCCACGTCCCCCTGCCCTGCGCTGTGTCCCCATCCCTTGCCC